AACAATCCCCGCCTCAGCCTCACAAGTAGCTAGGACTACAGGTGCACACCACCATGTCTGGCTTGTCGAAAGGAAAAAAAAAAAGTTTTTTTTTATAGAGATGGGTCTTGTTATGTTGCCCAGGCTGGTCTTGAACTCCCGAGCTCAAGGATTCCTCCTGCATCGGCCTCCCAAAGCGGAATTACAGGTGTGAGCAACCGTACCTGGCTGGGATTTGAAATTTTTTAAAAAAGATAACATTTATAAGCCTTATTTCTTGGAGTCACGTAGTTCAAGTGAACACCTTAGCTTGGTGATTTGCAGTTTCAACTTGACTGTGTCCTTTAGCCAGAAATCCTGGGGTTGTTGAGACCTTTCCATGTAGTAGCCCAGAACTCATCTTCAATTTTGAGTCAAAATGGCTTTTTGAGCAATTCTAATAGTCCCTGGATTCCTCTGAGGTATTATAGGTTGTCTTTTTTTTTTTCCAAGCCTCTCTCATTTAGGCAACCAAATTTTCCTCCGAGACTTCCATTCCTCACTTTCAAACCTTTTCTGCCTCTTTTGCTTCCAGCTGGTTCCTGAACTTCAGGCTGACATTTCCAACAGCACCTCCAGCCTACAGCAAGTGTCCTGCCTTTGTGGCCTGTTTCCCGGCCATTGTCTGGCTTATCTGTTCTTCATGCCCCTTTATCTCTCCTCCTTCCTTGCTCCTCCCCAGTGCACAGGTCAGGTCTTCCAGGATGGACTTATCATGGACAACTCTCATTTGAGTTGTTTTCGCTGAAACAAATATTTGCATATATGACCCCTCCCCCCCCCCCAACATTTACCATATGGCTTTTCCTACATTCCAGCCAGAGGAACTCTCAAATTCATATATATTTTGGAAATGAAGTTTTCCCAGATGGTCTCTCCAAAGCACCAAAGCAAAGTCAGGGTTTGTGCATTCCTTCAAAGGTTCTGGGCAGGGGTTAGAATTGCTCGTGTTTTCTTATTCCCATCAGCAGTTATTTTGTCAGTGCACCTGATAATGGGACAAAACCTGAGTCTTTTTTAGCTAAAAACACATCAGAGTTTGAGGGAGATGCTGAACCATAAACTGGTGTCCCCAGGGAAAGGAGAGAAACCTGCTCAGTTGCTCAAATAATTTCAAACCAAAGCCCCTAAGAATAATTCCACAGGGAGAGAGAAAGAGTATGAATATTAGAAAGATGATGAGCCAGGTGTGCTGAAAAGTTTTCTTAGCCATTCTTAGCCCTAGAAGGGGATGGGGCAGCTCCACATCTCTACTGGGAAACATACTTCCCCTTTTAAATCAGGAAAGAAAAAAACAACAACATAGCCGCAAATAGAGAATGTTTTCTTTTGTAACTGAAGCAAACATTGCTGATGGCTTTAACAGCTGCCTGCCAATGTGGCCTGAGCAGCAGGCAAGCTCAAACATTTTCTGAGATCAACACATGTACAGACATACAGTATATTAGGTCAAATTATAAATCCAGGAATAAAAGAACAAATAAACAATTTCGGCTTTCTCTAGGCTTCTGCATCCAACACCAGCTAAATTAGCCTCTGAAGCAGAGGAATCTGGATTCCATGAAGGCAGGTCTCCCAAAAGTTCAAGTCAAACTTCCCTCTGGCAGGAAAAGAAGGTGCCGTTGTAGATTGCTGACGGTTGACCAGGTCCAGGCTGCTGAGCCCGGCCTAGCCAAGGCTTCCCCATGTCTTAGCCCAGCAGACTCTGAGGATGTGCAGCAGGTTAACGTTAGGCCTGCCATTGACTTGATCTTTGACCCCAGTAAATCATTTAATATGCCATGTGCCTTTGTCCATGTGTTAATGTTTGGTGTAATTTGGATGAGAATTCCAGCAAGTCTGGGTGTGCCACCCATTAGGACTAACTCTTTCCCTTTGGAGCTTCCAGGCGGAACCTTCTGAATAGCTACATTGCAGAAAGCTGAGGTATCTCAATGAACCAAATTGAAATGCCTGCAGATGGTGAGACCAGCCTTGGCTGAACTGTGACTGAGAAGTAGAAGAATGAATTTTTTCCTTTGTTATCAAAACTGACACATAACTTTTAGTTCTGCCGTAGGGCAAGAAATCTACCAGAATGTAATAGGTAGGAAAACACTGCCTTCCACCACTCTACTAGTATGTGACCTTGAACAAGTCATGTAGGCTAAGCTTGCACAGATGTGAGTGGGTCATGAAATCAATGAAATAAACTGGAACTAAAAAAAAAATTTTTTTTTTTGAGACGGAGTCTTGCTCTGTCGCCCAGGCTGGAGTGCAATGGTGTAATCACAGCTCACTGCAACCTCTGCCTCGCAGGTTCAAGCGATTCTCCTGCCTCAGCCTTCTAAGTAGCTGGGATTACAGGCACCTGCCACCAAACCTGGCTAATTATTATATTTTCAGTAGAGACGGTTTCTCCGTTTTGGCCAGGCTGATCTCAAACTCCTGGCCTCAGGTGATCCACCCGTCTTGGTCTCCCAGAATGCTGGGATTACAGGCATGAGCCACAGCGCCTGGGCCTAAAAATGTTTTAATTAAAGAAATTGAGTAGAATAGAAAATAGCAGCGCCTAGTCCACAGTAAGGAAAGTATATATGTGTATGTATGCTTCCTGGGGTCATAATGAACAACAAACGTTCTACTATGGGTAACTAACAAAAAAGTTCTTAAGCCAGTGGCTTAACCCAGCAGTCCCCAACTTTTTTGGCACCAAGGACAGGTTTCATGGAGGACAATTTTTCCATGGATGGGCGCAGAGGGGCTGATTTTGGTATTAAACTGTTCCATCTCCAATCATTAGTTAGATTCTCATAATGAGTGGGCAACCTAGATCCCTCACGTGCACAGTTCACAATGGGGATGGCATTCCTAAGAGAATCTAATGCCACTACCGATCTGATGGGAGGTCCAGCTCAGGCAGCAACGCCTGCTGCTCACCTCCTGCTGTGCCCGGTATCAGTCCATAGCTTGGGGGTTGGGAACCCCTGGATCAGACCATAGAGTTTTGATCTCCTCACCTATTGGTTGGAAATAATTCATTTTTATATGCATACATAGCTATAGATACATATACAAGTGCATATGCATATAGTGAGCACCTACTCTATGTCAGGCACAGTGAGTGGTGTATGAGGTATACAGGCATGACAAGGCCCTGTCCTCGGGGAGCACTGGCTAGTCAGGGAGCCTATCAGGAAATACTGGCATAATTATTTCACTACCATTGTGATTAGGGCCGCAAAGAGACTTACCAAGGGTGAAGAGAGCGTGTTGCAGGGTTCCTGACCTGGGCTGCAAAACCAGGGCCAGCCTTGTGAGGAAGGGACACAGAAGGAGCCAGAGAGTGATGCAGGCAAAGAACTGGGGGGCACCCCAGGCTGAACACCAGCGAGTCTGAGCAGACCCTAAAGAGGGAGTAACCGTGCCAGGCCTACCCCAAAGGCTTCTGTGAGGACCAAGGGAGGTGACAGCAGAAACACTGGAAACTGTAGAGTGTTGTTCAAATATGACCTATTATTTAAAACAATGAATATAAACTTGCCTTAAAGGTGAGATTAAGCATCCCTTCAATGACTCTTTGCCGGAACCTGTTCTAGGTTCTGGGCATACAGCAGTCAGACAGATTCTCTGCCCTCCATAATCACAGAGAATGGTGATTTCAGACTGCAGTAAATGCTATGGTGAAATATAAAATTTGGCAGAGGAATAGAGAATAATGGAGGCAGGGGAGATTCTAGACAGGAAGGTTGGGTGGCTCATGCCTGTAATCCCAGCATTTTGGGAGACCAAGGCAGGTGGATCACTTGAGGTCAAGATTTCAAGACCAGCCTGGCCAATATGGTAAAACTCCATCTCTACTAAAAATACAAAAAAGTTAGCAGGGTGTGGTGGTGCATACCTGTAATCCAAGATACCTGCGAGGCTGAGGCAGGAGACTTGCTTGAACCTGGGAGGTGGAGGCTGCAGTGAGCTGAGATTGTGCACTGCACTCCAGCGTGGGCGACAGAGCAAGACCCCATCTCAAAAGGCTGAGCATGGTGGCTCACACCTGCAATCCCAATACTTTGGGAGGCCGAGGAGGGTGGATCACAAGGTCAAGAGATCAAGACCTCCTGGCCAACATGGTGAAATCCCATCTCTACTATGATACACTGAACACTCATGATAGTGAGTGCATTCTCAAGAGATCTGATGGTTTTATTAATATAGGGGGCTTTCCCCCTTTGCTCAGCACTTCTACTTCCTACCACCATGTCTAGAAGGATGTATTTGCTTCCCCTTTCACCATAATTGTAAGTTTCCTGAGGCCTCTCTAGCCCTGCAGAACTGTGAGTCAATTAAAACTCTTTTCTTAATAAATTACCCAGTCGTGGGCAGTTCTTTAAAGCAGCGTGAGAATGGACTAATACACCCAGAAAATAACAAGTGTTGGTGAGCATGTGGAGGAATTGGAGCCCTTGTGCACTGTTGGTGGGAATGTAACATGGTATAGATGCTATGGAAAATAGTATGGAGATTCCTCAAAAAATAAACAATAGCCACATGGGTGCCACGTGGGGTATGTACACAGATTGGAAGCAGGATAACAAACAGCCATTTGTACACCCATGATCATAGCAGCATTATTTACAATAACCAAAAGGTGAAAGTGACCCACATGTCCGCTGATGGATGAATGGATAAATAAAAGGGATGTATTCATACAATGGAATATTATTCAGCCTTTAAAAGGAAGGAAGTTCTGATACATGCTACATCATGATTTGAGACTTTTCCTACCCAATTCTGCTTCCTTCCTCATTTACTTTCACAGGGGTTACTGCCTCCAACCCCCAAAATCTCGCTCTGTCTCAGCATCTACTGCCCAGAGCACCCAACTGACACAGAGTTCAATAACGACTTTTTTTGCCGGGTTTGTCCAACCTGTCTGAAAATGGAAGACCTAATTTCCCCTTTCTCCTTCTTATCATTCTGCATCTTTCTTTCTTTTTCTTTTTTGAAATGGAGTTTCGCTCTTGTTACCTAGGCTGGAGTAGAATGGCGCGATCTCAGCTCACTGCAACCTCTGCCTCCCAGCTTCAAGCAATTCTCCTATGTCAGCCTACCAAGTAGCTGGGATTACAGGTATGTGTCACCATGCCCGGCTAATTTTTATATTTTTAGTAGAGATGGGGTTTCTTCATGTTAGTCAGGCTGGTTTCAAACTCCTGACCTCAGGTAATCTGCCCACCTCGGCCTCCCGAAGTGCTGGGATTACAGTCCTGAGCCCCAGCACCTGGCCCCTTTGCCCATTTTTAAATTGAATTGTCTTTTTGTTGTTGAGTTATCGGAGTTCTCTCTATATATAATATGAATGCCAACTCCTTATCAGATATAAGATTTGCAAATATTTACCATCATGTGACTTTTTCAAAGGTTAAAAGCTCAGACTGTGGAACCTACTGCTTAGATCCAAATCCCAGTTCTGCCACTTACTAGCCTGGAAGAAAGAGTGAACAACTGCACAAATCCAGGATCTGCCAGCGAGGAAGAGAGGGGCAACGGCATTTAAACAGGCAGCCAGCACAGTCCGTTTGCACAATACCGGATGTCAAAGGCAGGTAGGTGGACAAGTGCAGACGGGGCTTATTGAAGCTTTCTGGTCAGGAAGCATAAATGTCAGGTAATAACAGGAAATAGCATTACACTGAGTTTTGAGTGTAAAAGACCATGCCAAGTCCTTTACATGCACGGTCTCATTTCATTTACTTTCAACAAGTATTTCATGAAAACCTAATATGAACCAACCACAGTGAGCTCCAAACAGAACAAAACAAACAAAAATCACACACTGTGTTTGTCCTCAAGGAGTTTACAGCTGGTCCAAGAATCAAACAACTGACAATGATGTCAGATATTGTCAAAGATACATCTGTGTCTTTTGGCACAGACACATGGGTCACGTTTGTGGTCCTATGGCAACTGATAGATCAGGAGGAAACTTACCTGAGAAAATCTCCCTGAACTGACATAAGAAAGGATAGGAGTAAAGAATTAGGGGAGAGCTGGGTGCGGTGGCTCACACCTGTAATCCCAACACTTTGGGAGGTCGAGGTGGGCAGATCATGAGGTCAGGAGATTGAGACCATCCTGGTTAACACAGTAAAATCCCATCTCTGCTAAAAATATAAAAATTAGCTGGGTGTTGTGGCATACACCTGGAATCCCAGCTACTCAAGAGGCTGAGGCAGGAGAATCGCTTGAATCCGGGAGGTGGAGATTTCAGTGAGCCGAGATCACGCCACTGAACTCCAGCCTGGGTGACACAGCGAGACTCTGTCTCAAAAAAAAAAAAAAAAGGAATTGGGGAGGGTGGAATGTTCCAGACATATCAGAACATGGGGTAGCCACAAGGGGATGTCAGTTTTGTGAGTACAGGAACCCCATCCATCTGGTATACCAGTAGATCTCTGTTCCCTAACACAGAATAGCTCTCCATAAACATTTGTTTGATGGCTAATGTGTCCTCAATTTCTTTTTTCTTGAGACGAAGTTTTGCCCTTGTTGCTCAGACTGGAGTGCAATGGCACAATCTCAGCTCATTGCAATATCCTTCTCCCGGGTTCAAGCAATTCTCCTGCCTCAGCCTCCCAAAGTACTGGGATTACAGACATGAGCCACTGCGCCTGGCCATGTGTCCTCATTTTATTGATGAATCTCAGAAGGGGCAAGTAACTTGACCAAGGTTACAGAGCTACTAAGTGGCAGAGCTGAGTTTGATGCCAGGCAATAAGCTCTAGAGCTTGAGCTTTTAACCCCTCCTCATCCACTTTTTCTTACCCAGATCTTCTCTGGCACCTTTAGCCTTCTAAAAAGTCACATATTGGCCAGGTGTGGTGGTGCACGCCTATAGTTCCAGCACTTTGGAAGGCCAAGGTGGGAGGATCACTTGAGCCCAGGAGTTCAAGACCAGCTTGGCCAACAAAGCAAGATCCAGTCTCTACTAAAAAAAAAAAAAAAAATTGGTAGGCCATGGTGGCATGTACACCTGTAGCCCCAGCTACCCGGGAGGCTGAGGCAGGAGGGTCACTTGAGCCCCGGAGTTTAGGCTGCAGTGAGCTATGATCACATCCCTGCACTTCAGCCTGGGCAACAGTGTAGGGCCCTGTCTCTAAAAAAGTAAATAAAAAAGAAAAGAAAAGTCACCTATTAACTTTTTAAAGAGTAAAAAGACTTTCTTTACCCTATCATCCCAGGCCTCTAGAAAAATCATTCTCTTCTTTGGTCTTTATTTCAAGAATTTACTCCAACTTGCTAGGGTGGCCTATGACACATTGTACTGTGGCTGCTTCCATATGTAACTATCTATCTCCCTCCTCCCTAGCTCCAGCCCTCCTTCCCTAGTAATAATAAACTGTGAGCTATTTGAGAGACTATATCTAAATATCCACATAGCGCAGCACTTAAGAATGCAGGATTAGAGACCAGACTGATGGGGAGGAAGCCTGTTCTGCCACTTACCAGTTATATGACCTTAGGGTCTTTACTTAATCTTTCTAATCCTCTGTTTCTTTATCTGTAAAATGGGACTAATAATAGAACCAGCACCTCACAAGGTTGTCGCAAGGATTAATGGAGATGACACATGGACAACTCTTAGGATAATGCTTGACGCAAACTAAAAACACAGTAAAACTTGGCAAATACTCTACACTGGAAAAACATAAAACCGGAATAAATACTCATCCCACCACCAAGTGGAAGAACAATTGTATGGTGGCCTTTCTTCCCCCCTAAGGCAGAGATGAGTAGGCTTCAGCCACTTGGTTTTTCTTTGTTTAAACTGCAGTATTGGCAGTATCACCTTCAGCCACAGTCTCTTGTGGAAGGAAGGGACTGGTGCGTAAGGGATGACCCAAGGGGGTACCAGAATCCCTAAATGACTTCCCCTTCCTAAGGCTGAAGGCTCCATGCTGCTTCTGCTTGGGCTCAGGCCATGCCAGTCCTCCTCCTCTTCCTTTCTTTTTTTTTTTCCCCCATCCCTCCCTCCCCACTTCCAACCCTGGGAAAAAAATGAAGAGAAGCACACCAACCAAGAAGCCTTTTCACTTCATTGTGTTTTCCAGCTAGACCTGAACAGACAGCGATCAATTCAACCCTCTCTCACCCTCCCTTCTCTCTTCTACTCTCGTGTCCTCTTTATGTTTTTTTTTTTTTTTTTTCTCTTAGACTGTGTCTTCAGGCTTAGGAAAAAGCAGCTACCTCCCAGCAGCATGAAGATGCAAGAAGCTGCAGTTGCCTGCAGCAAACACGACAGGATTGTAACAGGTCCCCATGGTCCTTGTTGCATGGAAAGGTGGATTCTCTGAGAAACTTCTCAGCTTGACCACGTCTGTCCCAACCTAAGTTTGGCTGCAAGGAGTCACACAGAAAACCTTGCTCTCCTACTTCCTCTGGCCAAGAACCTCCTGAAGTTTGCCCCATCCCCAAGCAAGGAGTTTTCATTCCAAGCTTGAACAAACCTGGCCCACTGGACTTAAAGTCAATGAGTGTGAAGGAGGAACACACCTTTTCCATTTTCAAGCAGCCTAGTGGGATTTTGTTTTTTTCCAACAGCCCTCCAAACTGGCAGGGCTTTCAAAGCTACAAATTTCCATGACCCCAGCCTTCACCGAAGAAAAATTTCCTGGTTAGGTTGGCATGTGTGGAGGTTTTACACGTGCAAGTGAGAAACGCTGAACAAATAGTTAAACCAGAGCTATGAATCAAATTAGTCTAAACAAGATTCTCCCCTATCCCCATGCTGTACTAGTTACCCTCCTTAATTCCTATCCCAAACATATATTCAAAAATAACTACTATTTGTCAGACACAAATAGTAGTAAGTACCAGGAACTGAGCCACATGTTTTATTTACTTACATTACTCATTTTATCTTCACAATTATGCAAGGTAGAAATTATGTATCGTTTCTTCTCTAAGGCACAGACAGGTGAAGCAATTTCCCTAAAGTCACTCAGTTCAAAGCTCGACCCAACAAACACATAGGTGAATCTGAAAATCATCATGCAGAGCAAAAGAAGCCAGACAACAAAAGAGTACTTACTACATGGTTTCATGTATATAGTATGATAGAAAGTGCAAATTAAATAGTCGTCATAGAAAGCAGACCAGTGGTTGCCTGGGGATGAGGCACGGGGAAGAGGGATCACAAAGGAGCAAAAGAAACTTTAGGGTATGACAGAAATACTGATTATCTTGGTTGTTATAAGATTATTAATAATGAGCCAGCTATGGTGGCTCACACCTGTAACCCCAGCACTTTGGGAGGCCGAGGCGGGTAGATCACCTGAGGTCGGGAGTTCGAGATCAGCCTGATCGACATGAAGAAACTCTATCTCTACTAAAAATACAAAATTAGCTGGGCATGGTGGCTCATGCCTGTAGTCCCAGCTACTCGGGAAGCTGAGGCAGCAGAATTGCTTGTACCCAGGAGGCAGAGGTTGCAGTAAGCCAAGATTTTGCCATTGCACTCCCGCCTGGGCAACAAGAACGAAACTCTGTCTCAAAAAAGAAAAAAAAGTTATTATAATGGTTTTGCAGGTGTAGGCGTTATAAGTCAAAACTGACCAAATTGTACATGTTATATATATGCAAGTTAGTGTGCCTCAAGTATATCTTGATAAGATTGAAACAAAGTACAAAAGAAGCTGGATGCGGTGGTGCACGCCTGTAATCCCAGCAACTAAGGCTGAGCCAGGAGGCTCACTTGAGTCTAGGAGTTCAAGACCAGCCTCATCAACTTGGTGAGACTCTATCTCGGAAAAAAAAGGAAAAAGCTGAATATTAACCTGATCTAATCACTATACATTATATGATCAAACGCCACTATGTTCCTCATAAATATGTATAATTATTTGTTAAATTTTTTAAAAGGCCTAGGGGTAATTTTATTGATCTGTTTTGTGCTGTGAATCTAGTTTACATATAAATCCTTGGGACATTGAATAAATGTACACATCCATATCATGTTATAAATAAAATCATCCCCCCAAAAAAGCATAAAAATATCCCATCCCTAATCATATCTACAAGTGCATTTACTCCTTTTATCTTTGATATCATAGGGCATAGCCACACTCTGGTTCAGACTTTTATTTATTTTTTTTTTTTGAGAAAGTCTCACTTTGTTGCCTAGGCTGGAGTGCAGTGGCGTGATCTTGGCTCACTGCAACCTCAGCCTCTCAGGTTCAAGCAATTCTCCACCTCACCCTCCTGAGTAGCAGGGACTACAGGTGTGAACCACCACGCCCAGCTAATTTTGTATTTTTAGTAAAGACGCTGTTTCGCCATGTTGGTCAGGCTGGTCTCGAACTCCTGGCCTCGAGTAATCTTCCTGCCTCAGCCTCCCAAAGTACTAGGATTATAGACATGAGCCATCATGCCTAGCTAGGTTCAGACTTTTACGCCGTTTTTCCTGGGTTCTCTTGGGGTGAGAGGATCTAGCTGTTATTGGTTTTTCTCACTGGAAATTCCAATTAGTGAGGCCTATGATTCTAGAAATTCTTCTGCACCACTCACAGTTAGGTCTGCTATAATGTCAATGTGATGCAAATAATTATTTAAAGAAGCAGCTCTCAAATTTTTTGGTGTAAGGGTCCTTTCACACTCATGAAAAGTACTGAGGACACCACAGAGCTTTGTTTATTGTGGGTAAAATATCAGCGTTTTTTTTTTTGTTTGTTTGCTTGTTTGTTCTTTTTTGAGACGGAGTTTTTTGCTCTTGTGACCCAGGCTAGAGTGCAATAGCAAAATCTCGGCTCACCGCAACCTCCACCTCCCGGGTTCAAGCGATTCTCCTGCCTCAGCTTCCCAAGTAGCTGGGATTACAGGTGCCCACCACCACACTCAGCTAATTTTGTATTTTTAATAGAGACAGGGTTTCTCCATGTTGGTCAGGCTGGTCTCGAACTCCCGACCTCAGGCAATCTGCCTGCCTCAGCCTCCCAAAGTGCTGGGATTACAGGCATGAGCCACCTCGCCCAGCCTCTATCAGTGTTTACTCAAATTAAAGCTGAGAACTTTTGAAGACAGTTAATTCATTTTTAAAAAGAATAAACCAATTATATATGACATAACATTTTAATTAAACATAATTATATTTCCCCAAAAATTAGTAAGAAGGGTTGTATTGTTTTGCATTTTTGCAAATTTGATTTCTGATTTCGTAGAAGATATGATTCTCATATTTGTTTCTTCACAATGTTGCAATGTCACATATTGTGGCATCTGGGAAATGCCACTGTCTACTTGTGAAAGAATGAGAATGAAAATGGTAAATAACATCTTAGTATTAATTTGAAATAGTTTTAACCTTGAGGACCACTGAAAAGATCTTGGGGACTCATGGGGTCCCCAAATCCCACTTTAAGAACTGCTAGGGGCCAGGTGTGGTGGTTTACGGCTGTGGCTCAGTCCCAGCACTTTGGAAGGCTGAGGTGGGCAGATTGCTTGAGCTCAGGAGTTCAAGATCAGCCTGGGCAAATCTCCATGGCAAAACTCCATTTCTACAAAAAGTATAAAAATTAGCTGGGTGTGGTTGTGTATGCCTGTGATCCCAGCTACTTGGGAGGCTGAGGTGGGAGGATTGCTTGAGCCCAGGAAGTTGAGGCTGCAGTAAGCCATGATCATGCCACTGCACTCTAGCCTGGGTGACAGAGCAAGATCCTGTCTCAAAAAAAAAAAACAAAAAACAAAAAACCAGCCTGCTGATCTAAAGTGTTCAAGACATAAAGTGAACACTTTATTTATTCCAGTTCCTATGCTACCACCCCCACTGTTTTACCTATCCTACCTTGTGAAATCTTGAGAAGCAAAGGAAGAAACTGGGGCACCGTGAAGCATCAGATGGAAGGCCGTACTAATAACTCTCCTTCAAAGTCCTTTCCACCCCTGTGAATCTGTGGCATGGGGTATTTTTCTTTTAAACAAAATCAAGAGAGCCAAAGGCTCAGCAGGACCTAGATGCACAGGATGGGGGACTAAAGCACAACAATGGAAACATCACAGAGTTTCCTTGTGACCCTCTTGCAGAAAGAGGAACAGCTGCCTCCTCTCAGGGCTTTGCTCTGGTTTACCCCATAGTGGGTGTCAAAGCAAGAACCTGGGGTCCTGAGGGAAGTTCAGACAAATCTGAGCTCTTACCTGTTCCCTAAACAAGTGGTTGCTGGGCTAGAGCCAGCATTGGGCCAAACCCTCAATCCAAATTGAAAACTTTGGCCCCTGACATGGGGTAGAAGGCAGGGCATGCATTTAGAAGTCAATAAATTCCATTGTGAATTTTGTTTCTCCTTTTTACAGAGTATGCAACCCTGGGTAAATTACTGGAATTTTCTCTCTCTTTTTTTTCTTTTGAGACAGAGTCTAACTCTGTCTACCAGGCTGGAGTACGATGGCAAGATCCTGGCTCATTGCAACTTCCGCCTCCCGGAAGCGATTCAAGCGATTCTCCTGCCTCAGTCTCCCAAGTAGCTGGGTTTACAGGCACCTGCCACCACCCCAGCTAATTTTTGTATTTTTAGTAGAGACTGGGTTCCACCAGGTTGGCCAGGCTGGTCTCAAACTCCTGACCTCAGGTGATTCACCTGCCTCGGCCTCCCAAAGTGCTAGGATTACAGGCATGAGCCACCATGCCTGGCCTCATTACTGGATTTTTCTAAACCTCAGCTTCTTCATCTGTAAAAGGGAAATCATAATATCCTTATTTTTTCTCTTTATTTTTTAAAAAGAGACGGCTCTGGACATGGTGGCTTATGCCTGTAATCACAGCTCCTTGGGAGGCTGAGGAGGGAAGCTCACTTGAGACCAGGAGTTTGAGACCAGCCTGGGCAACATCATGAAACCCTCCCTCTACAAAAAATTTTTAAAAAACATTTTTTTAATGCCAGGTACAGTGGCTCATACCTGTAATCCCAGCACTTTGGGAGGCTCAGGTGGGAGGATTGCTTGAGGCCAGGAGTTTAAAACTAGCCTGGGCAACACAGCAAGATCTCATCTCTACAAAAAAAAAAAAAAAAAAAAAAAAAACAAGAAAAAAATTAGCCAGGTGTGCTATACACACCTGTGGTCCCAGCTACTTGGGAAGCCAAGGTAGGAGGATTGCTTGAGCCCAGGAGTTCCAGGCTGCATTGAGCTATGGTCACAACTGCACTCCAGCCTGAGCAACAGAGCACAGAGCAAGACCCCATCTCTAAAAAGAGAGAGAGAGAAATGGGGTCTTGCTATGTTTCCCAGGCAAGTCATAGTGCGCTACAGCCTCCAACTCCTGGGCTCAAGGGATCCTCCCATCTTCTCCTCCTGAGTAGCTGGGATTACAGGTGTGCACCACGGTGCCCAGCTCATAATATCCTTCCAAAAGGATTACTGCACAGATTCAATTCAATAAAACATGTAAAAATCCCAGTAGAGTAATTAGCATATAACAGAGGCTCACTTTTAATGCCTGTTACAGTTTTACAGAAAATCAAAGACAAAGTGGAAATGTACCACAGCATTAGACAGACCTGGGTTTGAATCCTAACAACGCTAGCTTTGGGCAAATCACTTCGCCCACCTTGTAGAGTTATTGTGAGAGGTCATGGAAATAATGCTGTAAATCTCATGGTATCTAGCCCATGTCCTACAGATGGCCACTGCTACAACTGAGCACTTGCATCTGGGGCTACTGGGAATCCCCTCATCGCCAGGGACAGCCCCTTTGGGGACTAGTACGTCATCCCTGGAGACAGGTTAAGATGGCTGGCTCTCAGGCTTTAGAGAGAGGCCTTTTCCAAAGGAGTGAATCCAGTCCTCACTTGGGATTTCCCATTTCCAAATATTCACCAGTTCCCCTGTCTCCAAATATTACACAGAGGCCATCAATGATGGGGCATTAATGTCCAGAGGAACTGTTCCCAAGGCAGAGGGAGAATGGACACTGTGTGTAAACTCTGCACTCCACACAGGGGAGAGGCTGCACAGGGGCTCTGGAGTCACACTCAAATTCAAATCCTGGCTCTCCCATTTCTGTACTAACTGCAAGACATAGGGCAAATTACTTGGCCTTTGGAAGCCCACTTTCTCATCTGTAGTTGGGAACAATGACAGTACTAGTGATAAATGTGAAGAGCTCTTAGCACGGTACCCAGCACACAGAAAATATTGATATATTTTACCTATTTTTATCACTACTTCTATTATTTTTGCAGGCAGAGACCAGTGTTTTCACAATAATTCATATATAGCTTACATTCCTACTTAGACATACTCAGGAAGGGGCAGCATGGCCGTGGGAGAAATTGCTTATTTTAACTTTAAGGAGAAATTTAAAAACTAAACCTGAAGCTGAGTGCAGTCGCTCATGCCTGTAAACCCAGCACTTTGAGAGGCCGAGGTGAGTGGATCACCTGAGATCAGAAGTTGGAGACCAGCCTGGCCAACAAGGTAAAACGAATCTCTACTAAAACTACAAAAATTAGCTGGGTGTGGTAGCAGGCACCTGTAATCCCAGCTACTCGGGAGGCTGAGGCAGGAGAATCACTTGAACCCAGAAGGTGGAGGCTGCAGTGAGCTGAGATCGCTCCACTGCACTCCAGCCTGGGTGACAGAGTAAGACGCCATCTGGAAAAACAACAACAGCAACGAAAACACCAAAAAACTCAAACTGAGCTCAGGACCCAGGAGAAACCACATGTCCTGGGGCGCAAACCACTGGATCATGTGACTCGTGCGCTTGTGCAGGAGGGAACAGCAGGACTTAAAAAAAAAAATCTCTGAGAGGACAGCCAATCAGAAGGTGCTCAGGGTAGTCTGGTCTGTCGGTTGCTGGGGCAACGTCAGTCACTGAGGAACCACGTGACTTAAAGGACTTCGACTCCAGGTACCACCAGTACCTGCCCAGCAAGGCTCTTGGTTGAGGATGGCCCCCGAAAATCTCATTGGGAAAGTGGGAGGAGAAGGGGAGAGGGGAAGAGCTGTGGAAAGGGTGGGAGGTTGTAAAGTGGACCCTGAGACTGAGAGAATGAACGCGTGTGGGGCTGGGGAGGACCCAGATGAGGACAGGACCTGAAGAAAAGACCCCAGAGATGACTGACGGTTCTGGGACCTGTGGAAAAGGCTCTCCTTGAAAAGTGTGGCCTTGAAAAGGATGAGGAATGGTTAGTGAGTGCTCGTTGTATGCCACTTTATGTGCATTTAATCCTAAGGGAGGTTGAGTCATTTGCTCATCGTTCCACAGCTGTTAAATGATGGAGCCAAATTCAACCTCGGATCTGACTCCTAGATCCTTAGCTGTCTCCAGGGAGGTGCCCCGAAGGCTCCCCAGCTCCACATGAGCTCTTGGAAGGCTCTGAGGGAAAATACCAGAACAGAAGGAAGGGTGATGGCAGCGGAGAGATAAGGAGGGAGCAATCAGGATAGGGAAGAGAAAAGAAGAGGTTGCAAAGAAGGGAGATAGGACGAGACTGAAAAAGGATGGAGAGTGAGGAGGACAAAGAAGGCTTGAGCGGGAGCCATAGGAAAAGAGGAATCCGTTGAAAAGACAGGATGGAGCCCTGGTGGGATATGAGGGTGAGCCTGGAGAAGACAGAGAAGGAAACGGTGTGGGGTCTCGGAGGAATCAGAATCAGCTGGACCGTGATCCTAGGCGCTGAAGAGCAAGGGTTGGAGTGTAGTTGGTGTTTGTGATTTGTTATTTTCTTGCTGTGAAAGCGTGGACCATGGGGATTATTATCCATGGAGCTATCTTCCATTATCCATGGAAGCATGGCAAAAATGTCTTCCCGAGGGAAGTTGGAACTGAGGTCTGACTCCTTATGGCTTGAACCGTCTTGGTCTCAGTTTACAGATGAGGCTGGATTGCCATATTATGTCATTGGTGCATTGAATGGGCTCACCTGGCACGTCTTTGCAGAGTCATCAACAGTTTGATCTAAAGTTCTCTTCTCTTTGAACCACATTGTGGTTTGTAGGGTTTTGGGTTAAAAAAAAAAAAAAAAAAGCTTTTTCAATTTGCCATTTAGAGTGGAGCTGCCACCAAAATGCAGATTTTTGTGAAAACTCTTACAGGGAAGACCATTACCCTCAAGGTTGAACCCTCAGATATGATAGAAAATGTAAAGGCCAAAATCCAGTATAAGGAAGGAATTCCTCCTGATCGGCAAAGACTGATCTTTGCTGGCAAGCAACTGGAAGATGGACGTACTTCGTCTGACTACAACATTCAAATGGAGTCTACTCTTCAGCTTGTGTTGAGACTGCATGGTGGTGCTAAGAAAAGGAAGAAGAAGTCTTACACCACTACCAAGAAGAATAAGCACAAGAGAAAGAAGGTTAAGCTGGCTGTCCTGAAATATTATAAGGTGGATGAGAGAGGCGAAATTAGTCGCCTTCATCAAGAGTGCCCTTCTGAGGCTGGGCGCGGTGGCTCACGCCTGTAATCCCAGCACTTTGGGAGGCCGAGGTGGATGGATCACGAGGTCAAGAGATCGAGACCATCCTGGTCAACATGATGAAACCCCGTCTCTACTAAAAATACAAAAAATTAGCTGGGCATGGTGGCGCGTGCCAGTAATCCCAGCTATTCAGGAGGCTGAGGCAGGAGAATTGCCTGAACCCAGGAGGCAGAGGTTGCCGTGAGCCGAGATCGCGCCATTGCACTCCAGCCTGGGTAACAAGCGCGAAACTCCGTCTCAAAAAAAAAAAGACTGCCCTTCTGATGAACGTCCGGCTGGAGTGTTTATGGCAAGCTTCCTCAACAGACGTTACTGCGGCAAATGTTGTCTGACTTATGGCTTCAACAAACCAGAACACAAGTAACTGTATGAGTTAATAAAAGACATGAACTAAAAAAAAAAAAAAAAAATTACCAGGTGTGGTGGCTCATGCCTATAATCCCAGCACTTTGGGAGCCCAAGGTGGGCAGGTGGATCACCTGAACTCAGGAGTTCGAGACCAGCCTGACCAACATGGAGAAACCCGATCTCTACTACAAATACAAAGTTAGCCAGGCGTGGTGGTGCATGCCTGTAATCACAACTACTCGGGAGGCTGAGGCAGGAGGATTGCTTGAAACCAGGAGGCAGAGGTTGCAGTGAGCCGAGATCACACCATTACACTCCAGCCTGGGCAACAAGAGCAAAACTCCATCTCACACACAAAAAAAAAAAAAAAAAAAAAAAAAAAAAGTATGTTATTACTAATGGTTTCATACTTTTTATCTTTTTTTCCTCTAAAAATCAGAACAGATCCTGTGTTTGATCTTAGACATTGTAGACTAGGAAGGGGAGCCTTTTTTTTTTTTCCTTCTTAGGTTTCTGCTGGGACCCTAAAGTTCAGTCTCTTGAAAGAATGTTATTGGAGGACGTGAACATATCAGAAAGGAAGTAGCAATGGAATAGTATTCGGCGGTGAAAAGGAATGAAGAACGGATGCATGCTACAACATGGAGAAACCTTGAAAAGTTATGCTAAGAGAAAGAAGCCAGTCACAAAAGATTATATATTGTATGATTCCATTCATATTAACTGTTTAGAATAAGAAAATTCAGAGAGACAGAAAATAGATTAGCCATTGCCTAGGGCTGAGGGACATTGAGGGGAATGAGGGTGACTGCTAAAAAGGTACAGGGTTTCTTTGGGGGATGATGAAAATATTTCTAAAATTCTTGTGGTGATGGCTGCACAGCTGGGGATATACAAAAAGCCCACTTTAAATGGGTGAACTGTATGAAACTATGATTATTATTGGAGGCAGGGTTGCCCAGGCTCTGTTGCCCAGGCTAGAATGCAGTGGCATGATCTCAGCTCACTGTAACCTCTGCTTCTCAGGCTCAAGCGATCCTCCCACCTCAGCCTTCCAGATAGCTGGGACTATGGTGTGCACCATCATGCCCAGCTACTTTTTGTTTTTGTAGAGACAGGGTTTCACTGTGTTGCCCAGATAGGTCTCAAACTCCTGGACTCAAATGATCCACCCGCCTCAGTCTCCCAAGGTGCTGGGATAACAGGTGGGAGCCAGTGCACCCAGCCTCATATGTGAATTATATCTAAATAAAGCAGTTACCAAAAGAAAAGGAAAGAAAGAAAGAAAGAAGAAAGAAAGAAAGAACACAAAGAAAGGAGGGATCAAAGGAGTAGAGGTGGTAAGTGTCATCTCTAATTTAGGGAGCATAGAGTAGGTCAGTCTGGCTGGCATTTAAAGAAGCAGTTAAGAATGAAGCTGCCTGTAATCCTAGCACTTTGGGAGGCTGGGGCGGGTGGATCACGAGGTCAAGAGATCGAGACCATCCTGGTCAAAATGGTGAAACCCTGTCTCTACTAAAGATACAAAAAATTAGCTGGGCATGGTGGCGCGTGCCTGTAATCCCAGCTACTCAGGAAGCTGAGGCAGGAGAATTGCCTGAACCCAGGAGGCGGAGGTTGCGGTGAGCTGAGATCGTGCCATTGCACTCCAGCCTGGGTAACAAGAGCAAAACTCCATCTCAAAAAAAAGAATGAAGCTGAAACCAAACAACAAAGGGCCAAAGAATTTCACATCGAAGACTTCGGACTTCATCTTACAGCTCTGAGCTGTCAAAGATAGTAGCCACTAGCCATATGTGACTACTGAGCTCTTAAAATATGGCTAGCCCACACTGAGGTGTGCTGAGGGCATGAAATACACACCAGATTTTGGAGACATAGTGAAAAAAGTATGTAAAATATCTCAAAGCCTTTGCGGTGATTACATTTTGAAATAACATTTGGGATTTATTGGGTCAAATAACATACATTGTTAGTCTTACTTTTTAAAATCATGTTTATTTGCAGGGCGGAGTAGCACATCCATGTAGTCCCAGCTACTCAGGAGGCTGAGGTAGGAGGATCACTTGAGCCAAGGAGTTTGAGGTCAGCCAGAGCAACATAGCAAGACCCATCTCAAAATGAAAGTCTATAAAATCAACTGGGTGCGGTAGCTCATGCCTGTAATCCTTTGGGAGGCCAAGGCAGGAGGATTGCTGACTTCTAGATCAGCCTGGGCAACATAGTGAAACTCCATCTCAAGAAAGAAAGAAGGAAAGAAAGAAATAGAGAAAGAAAGAGAAATGGGGAAAAAAGGAAAGAGAAAGAAAGGGAGAAAGAGAAAAGAGAGAAAGAAAAAGAAGGAAGAAAGGGAGAAAGAGAAAGCAAGAAAGGGAGAAAGAAAGAAAAAGAAGGAAGGAAGGAAGAGAAAATGTAAAATTACATATGTGGTTCACATTACCTTTCTATTACAATGTGCCATTATAGACAGTGGGAAGGCATTAAGGATTCTTGAATTAGAACAGGGGTCGGCAAATGTTTTCTGCAAAGGGCCAGATGGGAAATATTTAGAGCTTGAGGGCCATATAGCCTTGTTGCAACTGTTAACTCTGCTGCTGCACAAAAGCAGCTATAGACAATAATGTAAACAATTAGCATAGCTTTGTTCCAATGCAACTTTATGGACACTGAAATATGAATCTCATATACTTTTCACATCATGAAATATTGTTCTTATTTTGATTTTTTCCCAATCATTTAAAAATGTAAAAGCCATTCTTAATTTGTAGACTATCTGAAGACAGGTGGTGAATAGGATTTGGCCTCCAGGCCATAGTTTACTAACCCGCAAGTTAGAGAGTTAAGCTGAAGCCTCTGAAAATCTCTTTCAAGCACCAATACCATTGGTGCTCTCCCCCCACACAACCTCACAGTGCTTGGAAAATTCCTCCTTGCAAACAGCATGGATTCACGTAACATTTGATCTGGAAGGGACAGGAGGGATCAGGTACTCCTAACTTATCATATTACATTTGAGGAAACTGAGTCTCAGAGAGGTAAACTCATATAAACAAGGTCACATTGCAGTGAAGAGGTTCCAGGTAACGGGAGTAATTGTGAGACTACCTGGCAGCTGGCAAAAAAGGAAGGGTCTGAGGTTAGACTGAGTACCCAGGCTCCATTCTAGCTCATCCTTCCACTCATTCATTCATTCTTTTGTTTACCACTTTTTCCTTTTTTATTTTTTGTCCTTTGAGACAGGAGTCTTACTCTGTTGCCCAGGCTGGAGGGGAGTGGTGCGATCTCAGCACACTGCAAACTGCGCTTCCTAGACTCAAGCGATCCTCCTGCCTCAGCCTTCTGAGTAGCTGGGACCACAGGCGCGCAACGACCATGCTTGGCTAATTTTTGCATTTTTTTTTGTAGTGACAGGGTTTCACCATGTTGCCCAGGCTGGTCTAGAACTCCTGGGCTCAAGTGATCCACCCACTTCAGCCTCCCAAAGGGGTGGGATTATAGGCAGGAGCCACCATGGCCATTTTATTTCTTTTCCTTTCTTTTAACTTTATTTTTAGAGACAGGGTCTTGTTCTGTCGCCCAGGCTAGAGTGTAGTGGGGGGATCGTGACTCACTGCAGCCTTGATCTCCTGGGCTCAAGCCATCCTCCCACCTCAGACTGCTGAGTAGCTGGGGCTATAGGCATGTACCACCACACCCAGCTGACTTTTTATTTTTATTTTGTAGAGATGAGGCCTTGCTTTGTTGGCCAGACTGGTCTTGAACTCCTGAGCTCAAGCTATCTACCCAGCTCAGCCTCCCAAAGTGCTGGGATTACAGGCATGAGCCACCATGCCAGCCCATTACTTGTTTTTTGAGACTGTCTTGGTGCCAGGCCCTATGGGAAGCTCTGGAAAACCAGACATTAATTTGATTTGGTCACTGATGTTGAGGAACTCATAGGATAGAAAAATATATTTTAGCCGGGCGCGGCGGCTCACGCCTATAATCCCAGCACTTTGGGAGGCCGAGGCGGGTGGATCACGAGGTCAATAGATCGAGGCCATCCTGGTCAACATGGTGAAACCCCGTCTCTACTAAAAATACAAAAAAAAAAAAAAAATTATCTGGGCACGGTGGTGCATGCCTATAATCCCAGCTACTCAGGAGGCTGAGGCAGGAGAATTGCCTGAACCCAGGAGGCGGAGGTTGCGGTGAGCCGAGATCCCGCCATTGCACTCCAGCCTGGGTAACAAGAGCGAAACTCCATCTCAAAAAAAAAGAAAAGAAAAATATATTTTAAAACAGATACCTTGGGGGAGGAGGGAGGGCACAGATATGCTGGAAGAGTAAGGTAAAAAAATCTATGAGGAGGTGTCGCCCAAGCTCTGATAAGAACAGGTAAGAATGAACCAAGTGAAGGAGGTGAGAAGAGTGTTCTTTGCAGAAGAAATAGCATGTGCAAAGGCCTGGAGCTGTGAGGGCCCCAAATGCTCAGGGAACTCTAAGTAGATCATGGTGTGGTGGACTAAGTAGGAGCCAAAAATGGGAGAGATGAGCCTGGAACGTCAGCAGGACCCACACCATGAAGATCTTCTGGGTGAAGCTAAGAAACGTCATCCTGATCACACGAAGTGGTGAGGAAACACAGAGGCTTTAAACAGGGAAGTAACAGTCAGATTGAGTTTTAGAAAAAAATCACTTTGGCAGCTTGCCAGGCAGAGAGGAGAGAAAAAAGATTCCATGGGGAAAGAACAGCCTGCGCAAAAGCATGGAAGAACGCAAGGACCAGTGACAACCAGTGATCTGGTGTGACTCATGCATGCAATGCACGGCAAGGAGCAAAAAGACAGAAGCCTGGGAGGGAAATGTGCACAGATGGTTGAGGGGCTGAAATTCCAGGCTGAGGAGCTTGAATTTAATTCTTCAGATACTAGACAGAGGCAAGAACCTCATGGGACTAAGTGTGAAGGTAGAACACAGACCAAAGATCAAGGTTTCCTAGCTCAGCCATTTATTAGTTAAGCCTTCATTTCCACAGAGGTACAATGGAGGTAACAGCCATGAGGATTAAGCAAAATAATACATGAAAAGCGCTTATCATTTTCTTTCTCCACTGTGAGCTTCCAAGATGACAAAGAAAAGAAGGAACAACAGTTGTGCCAAAAAGGGCCGCGGCCATGTTCAGCCTATTCGCTGCACGAACTGTGCCCAATGTGTGCCCAAGGACAAGGCCATTAAGAAAATTGTCATTCGAAACACAGTGGAGGCCGCAGCAGTCAAGGATATTTCTGAAGCGAGCATCTTTGATGCCTATGTACTTCCCAAGCTCTATGTGAATCTACATTACTGTGTGAGTTGTGCACTTCACAGCAAAGTCGTCAGGAGTCGATCTCGTGAAGCCGGCAAGTACCGAACACCCATCCCGATTTAGACCTGCGGGTGCTGCCCCACGACCCCCACCAAAACCCATGTAAGGAGCTGAGTAAAAGACTGAAGACAACTATTCTCTGGAGAAAAATAAAATGAAATTGTACTTGATATTGCCTATTAAGTGTTTCTGTGCCAGATAGGGTGGGGATTTTGTGTGTGTTAGACCAAGTGTGAAATAACAAGTCGTATTTTCATGGGGAAGAAAGCTTATTTATGTAATCAATTTTTTTGTTGTGGGGGTGGGGGTGGGAGATGGAGTCTTGCTCTGTTGCCCAGGCTGGAGTGCAGTGGCGCTATCTCAGCTCACTGCAACCTCTGCCTCCTGGGTTCAAGCTATTCTCCTGCCTCGGCTTTCCAAGCAGCTAGGATTAGAGACGTGTGCCACCACGCCCAGCTAATTTTTTGTATTTTTAGTAGAGATGGGGTTTTACTATATTGGCCAGACTGGTCTGGAACTCCTGACCTCAGATAATTCACCCCTTAGGCCTTCCAAAGTGCTGGGATTACAGGCATGAGACACCATGCCTGGCTATTCATTTAAATTAAACCTTGTTTGCAGTCATGTCCTTGGCCTCACAACTTGCATAGCTGTGTGAAATAAGAAGTTTAGGCATCTGTTAAAAAAAGAAAAGAAAAGTGCTTATCACTTTTTAAAAGCCCAGCGTACAGAAAGCACTCAAATGTTATCTCTGAAACCTACACAGGACACATCGCATCACATCCAAGGGCTCCCAATTCCTACTAGAAGATCACAGGACATTCTGCTGGAGGGAAGACTCTCTGGTGGGATGCCACTCACCTTTTATTTTTAAACTCTAGCTAACTTTCCTTTTTTTTTTTGAGATGGAGTTTCACTCTGTCGCCCAGGCTGGAGTTCAATGGTGTGATCTTGGCTCACCACAACCTCCATCTCCTGGGTTCAAGCGATTCTCCTGCCTCATCCTCTTGAGTAGCTAGGATTACAGGCATTTGCCACCACTCCAGGTTAATTTTGTATTTTTAGTAGAGACTGGGTTTTTCCATGTTGGTCATGCTGGACTCTAAACACCTGACCTCAAGTGATCCAACTGCCTCAGCCTCCCAAAGTGCTGGGATTATAGGCATGAGCCACTGAGCCTGGCCTAAGTTTCCATTTTTTTGTGTAGAAAATAATGTGTGAGACCACAACCACCCTCATTTGGGAGCAGTTCTCTTTAAGAAACTCAGAGGAGCCCTCCACAGTGGGTGCCTATAATCCCAGCACTTTGGGAGGCTGAGGTGGGAGGATTGCTTCAGCTGGGGAGGTCAAGGCTGCAGTGAGCTGTGATCACACTACTGTACTATAGCCTGGGCCACAGAGCAAGACCCTGTCTCAAAGCAGAGGAGCTCAGAGGAACTCATACACCACACCACTGGCGTTATAAGTGGCATTCTGTAAAGGAGAGCACAGAAAGTCAGCAACTCATTTTGAGGGCAGTGGACATTCTCTCCAGGACCTGGGGCCAAACTTTGGGCTCCCATAGTCCTTTCAACCCTGAGTGTCTGTTCATTGAAATGAATCATGTGTATCATAAAATGTTCTGTATGTGCAGAATAGTTTCTATATCATATGTGAGCAGGAAAAAGGATTTCATGTTTGTATTTATAAATATCATTATGTGTCATTTAACAAGGGGAATATGTACTGAGCAATGAGTCATCAGTGATTTCCTTGTTGTGTGAACACAGAGTTTGCTTCCACAAACCTAGATGGTGTGATCACAGCTCTCTGCAGCCTCGACCTCCTCAGCTCAAGCGATCCTCCCACCTCAGCCTCCCAAAGTGCTGGGATTATAGGCACCCACTGTGGAGGGCTCCTCTGAGTTTCTTAAAGAGAACTGCCCCCAAATGAGGGTCGTTGTGGTCTTACACATTATTTTCTACACAAAAAATGGAAACTTAGGTCAGGCGCGGTGGCTCATGCCTATATACTCCCAGCACTTTGGGAGCCTCCTACACACCTAGTCGTAGGGTAGAGCTTTTTGCTCCTAGGCTACAAACCTATACAGCATGTGACTGTACTGAATACTGTAGGCAGCTGTAACACAATGACAAGTATGTGTGTATCTAAACATATGGAAATAGAAAGGGTATACAGTAAAAAATACAGTATTATAGTCTTATGGGACCACTATCCTATATATAGCTATCATTGACTGAACATCATATGCGGTGGATAACTTTACATAGAGTTGTTCTTAGAATCTGGTTACTGGGTCTTCTCCAGGGTAGGAAATGCTGTGTGTAGAGACAGGTTATGGGGAGATTGCGGAGGAACTATTCTCTTGTATCCTTTGAAGTACCATGTAAACATATTATTTATTGAAACGAATTTTAAAATATGAAAGCATGGCTGGCTGTGGGGGCTCACGCCTATAATCCCAGCACTTTAGGAGGCTGAGGCAGGTGGATCACTTGAGTTCAGAAGTTCGAGACCAGCCTGGCCAACATGGTGAAACCCCATCTCTACTAAAAATGCAACAATTAGTTGGACATAATGGCAGGTGCCTGTAATCCCAGCTACTTATGAGGCCAAGGCAGGAAAATCACTTGAACCCAGGAGGTGGAGGTTGCAGTGAGCTGAGATCACACCACTGCACTCCAGCCTGAGCAGCAAAAAGGAAACTCTACCTCAAAAAAAAATATATATATATATATATATAATATGTACATAACATATAGAATATGTATATAATATATATGTTTATAATATATAATACATGTTTAAATGTTTATATATGATATATAATATATATGAGAAAGCATTTTTGCTTTCCTTTTTTTGAGATGGAGTCTTGCTCTGTCACCCAGGCTGGAGTGCAGTGGTGCCATCTCAGCTCACTGCAACCTTGAACTCCCAGGTTCAAGCGAGTCTCCTGCCTTAGCCTCCTGAGAAGCTGGGATTACAGTCACATGCCATCACACCTGGCTAATTTTTGTATTTTTAGTAGAGACAGGGTTTCACCATGTTGGTCAGGCTGGTCTCGAACTCCTGACCTTGTGATCCGCCTGCCTTGGCCTCCCAAAGTGCTGGAATTACAGGCATGAGTGACCACATCCGGCCGACATTTTTGCTTTCCTATAACAGAGGTTTACCACATCCACTGTTGGTTTACTCTTCAGTTTTGCCTTCCAGCACCTTGTTCTTTAGTCCAAAGCCAGAGCACTGAAGGAGAGGGTGACAGTCTTGTATTCCATCCCCCACTGCAGGACTTAGAGCCTTTCTGTGACCCAGGACTCCCAGCTGGAGAACGGGAGAGCAGCACTTGCCACATTCCCCACAGGGGTAGCATTGAGAACTGGCTACCTCCTAGTAAATGATTTCAGGATCTGTGAGTAAAAGGGAGTATATTCACACAAAATACTCCTGTTTTTTAACCCCACAGAGTTCTAAGGAAATCTAATATAAAGGCTTCAGATCCACTTACAGTTGCTGCACTAGAGGGGAATGTTAATTAGTGACATTGGCAATTGTCATTTTCTTTGTAAACCTACTTGATGTCTGGAAGCTGCAGGAATCTTGCTATATGAGCCTTCTGTCTTGGAACAACAAAGTCTCAGTCTGACCTTCCTGAAACAGAAAAGAAACCTGCTCACCTCAATTACAGGCCTTAGCTGAGAATCGGGGTGTGGTGTCCACACAGTCTCTCTAGATTGCCTGGCTGGGTCCAGTGACTGTGTCTTGTCTTTTAGCGAGGCTCCCTGCCTCCTCCCTCCGGTGCCCTCTTCCAGGGTGGGATGCACAGAAGGCATTTAATAAATGATGGCTGAGCCTGTGGCTGGCTGGCTGCCTGCCTGCCTTCAGGAGTGCCCTCACTTTATAGATGGGGAAACAGAGGCACACAGAAGTACAGTACTTTGCTTGAGTTCCTTGTTGGAATCCCTGGTTCAGGCAGGACTCTCAGTTCAACCCCTAATGTTCATCTTTTCTACTCTCTGAACAGAGAGTGCTTGAGAAATTCCAGCATTTCCATCTTCAAAGTCAAGAAATAGGAGAAGCAATTGGAAAACAAGACCTGAACCTAGACAATCTGGGTAGATGACTGAGCCACCATCCTTGCCCAGGCCTCGGCATTCCCATCAATAAAATAATGGTTTGGATAGGATGATCTCTCATGTCCTTTGCGTTTCCTAGGGGCTGTGTATACAGCCCAGTGTTTACAAGCCAATCAAGGCCATTTCTTCTTCCAAGTTGTATTTCTTTACCTCCTTGAGTTTCTCATGAGTTTCAAGGGGGCGCTGTGAAACTGGTTCCTGGGCAGCCAGCAGGCCCTTCCTTGGAGCTGCCTGGCTGCTCGGTTTCCCTGCTGGTAACCAAGCCCTTGTCTGTCTTTCCAGCAACCCTGCCCTTTTCTTATTGTTGCTGTCTGTTTCCATTTGCTCCTTTTATTCTCCAGGTTTTCCTTGACTCTGATGTTTTTCCCCCTGCTGCACAACAAGCCCTTCTGATCTCTGTGAAAGGCAAACCCGTGTCATTCTTCCAAATCATCATTGTATGACATGTTTTTATATCAGCTGGACAAAGGAGCTATTTGATCAGGGGGTATGGTGTGTGATTGTAAGAAATTCAGCTAGTCGGTGGCAACCATTGTTCCCCAAGCGGCTCTCTGACCCCATTCTGTTCCTGGAAAAACTCCCTGAGAGTGGCCTCTATTCATGGAGTAACACCAGTCCCCAGCCGCGCTCCAGGAGCATGCTCAATTCCTAGCAGTGTCACCGATAGCTGCCCGCAGCCACCCTTTAACTCCTTCATCAGCATTAGGTTTCCAACCCCACAGCTGTTATCACGGCCGTAAGCTCAGGGGGTTAGAGATATAGGCATGCTCTCTGCTCTCCCTCTTATCTTGGAGAAATTCAACCTTCCTTTGAAATGGTCATTTGGAAATTACCCGTCTGCTGCTTTCAGCGCAGCAGGCCTGGCTAGCAGGCTTGCCCTCCTCAGTTTTCCCCTGAGGGCTACCTCTCAGCGCTGCCAACTCACAGGCCCTGCGGTTAGGTGGACTCCCTCCTGGTATGGAATCTAGTGGTACCTCAAAACCATTTCTGATTGCCTGAGGTAGAAGTGTAGGGCCCT